GAGATACAGGTAGATTAAAAACAAAAAACAATAATAATAATAATTTAAAAACACACACAGAACCATGCCTATTTACCTTGAATGGGATAAGAATAATGTGCTGAGCTTGACTGGCTTGTGGTTAACCCTGTAGTGCAGGTAAGAACACTGTGTTGACTTGGAGATGGAGTCTGAATTAAACTACTTTCAGGTTTCATACCTGGCCACAATGCACCTGAATCAGATAAATTGGACCAATTACAAACAATACACTGGGACTGAGGAGCATGTTTATGCTTTCGAATATCAGCCAGTAGGTTTAAAATCTAAATCTTAAAACAAAAATCAATTTCCTTGTTAGAAAAAATTATTGATTCTCCCACTCGTAATATACCACAAGCAAATACACTTCACACAATTAGGGAATGGGGCCACAGAAACAAAAGCTTGCCAAAAACCCCAACAGCGATATGTATATAATTTCATTTCAACGGTTGGCGGAAATTGACCAGGGTTCAGAAAAAGAGCTACTGACACCCAACTAGAGTATTTGTCACAGTGTCTGATGTTCATGTACAATGCTACATCATTCATCCAACTTGTCAAGGTGGGAGACATTCCACATAAATTTAAAATACCCTTAACCCATTAAATAAGCAACAGTTTTTTCTAAAATATGTTAAATACTTCTCTGCCTTCTTAAGCTGCTTATTTTGTTACCTTTGTTTCTTCCGATTAGGAAAAACATACCTGTTTATTTTTATAAATTAAAAACATTACAGATATATGTAACTTAGAAAAATAAAGTCATATAATCCCATCATCCACACAACCACTATTAAAAGTTGGCAGAGGAGTCATCCAATTTCTTCTACACATTTACTAATCTTATCCTTCTTTTTAATACAAATGGGATCATGTTATACTTACTATTTATAATTTGTTTCTCCATATAATACCTCTGAGAGACATCTGTGTCAGAACATATAAATCTATCTCATATTGTAGACATCATGGCTGTTCACTTTTATTTTAATCAAAATGCTCCTGAGTGGAAATCTTTCTAAAATATATTTATATCCTTTCCTAACCTCTTAGCAGAGAAAAAACAGTGAACATACTTTTAGATTTTCTCAGAATTATTGTTACAAAGATCCACACTGTGTTGTGCTATATATACTACAGACACCTATAGAGACTACTGTGATGTGTGAAGACATTTGCTTAGTACTAAACAGAACTCAATTACAGTCCTATGAATTTTAGGTTCCTATATCACTTGGTTTTTTCTTTGTGATCTGTCACTTCTTGACAATCTGGCTGCACCTCCCTTTTAATTTGCAATAAATTAAGAAACCATAAAAAAAGCTTTGCTTCTGTTTGAGAGCCTAAGGATATCCTTTATGAGCAAAATACTCCTGAGTGTATAGTTTGGTGATAATTTTGCCTATGTAAAAGCCTATTCTTGAAAAAACTTAATACCTGGTGTTTCAACTGTGTGAAGTAGCCACGGTTACTGAATCAGTGTAGTTGAAGCTGATCATGAGGTCTAACAACGCTCATCAATCAAACACATTCCATGTATGAAATCAACACTAAGGTTAGCTATGGCTTCAAATACAAGATAACTAATTTCATTTATTCCTAATCTGATAAGGAATTTATAGTCAATCAAAATGTACAATAAAAAATATCGTACTTTGACCACGAGGGCCTCTGCTTTACCAGGGCACTGAGATACTTCAGTGCAACTCAGATTTGTCAAATTGGTTGGTAAGTAAATTTAAGAACATAAAGGGAGATGTGAAAAATCTTAAAAGGTTGACAAATTAGACACAGTAATTGTTTTGCCCCAAAAAGAAAATGTCATATCTTTTCTCATCTATTAATCACATGAAATAACTTATTTGAGGAGATTGAGGAATATTAACATCTCCTGCATGAATTAGAGGGTTGCTCCCCTACCCCCGGGCTTAGTTCATGATCATTTAAATATGTCTTGTCCAGGTTAGCCAGAGCTAAGGTCCTTGCTATATTTGATTTTCAACAATAAAAATATTTGAGAATGTTATTTTTTAAACATTTACAATATGAAATGTGAATAACAGTGCTATGTTTATTGGTGGTCATAAACACATTTTTTGATAAACAAATTGTCATTTCAACATCACAATAACTTCCAGATTTATTAGAATTAATGTGACCTCTTTTTCCAAATAGATTTTGACCCTGAAGTGTTAGATTTGTAAGCACATCCATTATTACACTGTACTAAAAAATACCTTATTAATAACAATAGTATCAACTGAGAATGTTTTGCTTGTGTTATTATTTAGTCTTTTTTTTAAAGTTTCAAACTGGGGCCGGCCCAGTGGCGCACTCGGTAGAGTGCGGCGCTTGGGAGCGCGGCAGCGCTCCCGTCAAGGGTTCGGATCCCATATAGAGACCGGTCCCGCTCACTGGTTGAGCGTGGTGCGGGCGTGACACCGAGGGTTGCGACCCCGTTGCCGGTCGCGGTACGGGCGCGACACTGAGGGTTGCGATCCCGTTACTGGTCACGAAAAAAGACAAAAAGGAAAAAAAAAAAGTTTCAAACTGTAACATGTCTATAAACTGGTCCCTCTTCTAAAGTCAAAAATTAGGACACAAATGTTCAAAATAAACAGGAGAAGAGCTAGTTTGAATGTCTTCAGAAACCCAAAGTAGATTTTAATACATAATTATTTTATGAGGAATAGAGGAATAAAAAACAATATAGACACTGCCTCCAGCATCACTGTAGCCCTGCTCTTCAGGAATGTGCTACAGGTTAAACACGTGCCCCAAAGGTACTGAGGGTTGCGATCCCATTACTGGTCACGAAAAAAGACAAAAAGGAAAAAAAAAAAGTTTCAAACTGTAACATGTCTATAAACTGGTCCCTCTTCTAAAGTCAAAAATTAGGACACAAATGTTCAAAATAAACAGGAGAAGAGCTAGTTTGAATGTCTTCAGAAACCCAAAGTAGATTTTAATACATAATTATTTTATGAGGAATAGAGGAATAAAAAACAATATAGACACTGCCTCCAGCATCACTGTAGCCCTGCTCTTCAGGAATGTGCTACAGGTTAAACACGTGCCCCAAAGGTTTACGTACTAGAAACTTAATCTACACTGTAACAGTGTTAAAGGTGAGAAGTCCTATTACAGTAATTGAAAGTTGGGGCCTTTAAAAGGTGATTAGATTGTGAGGACTGTAGCCTCATGAATAGATTAATCCATTGATGGCTTAATGGGTGGTCATGGCTGTGGTTAGGATGGCTTATTAGGAGAACTAGTGAGAAGCTAGCTCTTTCTTGCTCAGCCATTTGCCACGTGATATCCTGTGTCACTGTAGAGAGTCATCACCAAGACCAAGGGCCTCACCAGATGTGTTCCCTGGACTTTGGACTTCCCAGCATCCAAAACTGTAAGAAATAAATTATATTTCTTTATAAATTACCCAGTTTCAGCTATTCTGTTATAAGCAACAGGAAACAGACTAAAACAACATGAATTCCAGATAACAGGTAGCACAACCAAATGATTTCTCTGTAGGACTACTGCCCATAGCAAACAAGGAATCCAAACCTTGGTACCCTGGCTTGTAGTCCACTGCTCTATGCCTACAACTACAAAGCTTCTCATGCACTTCTTTTTTTTTTTTCCTTTTTGTCTTTTTTCGTGACCAGTAACAGGATCGCAACCCTCAGTGTTGCGCCCGCACCGCGCTCAACCAGTGAGCGGACCGGTCTCTATATGGGATCCGAACCCTTGGCAGGAGCGCCGCCACTCTACGGAGTGCGCCACCGGGCCTGCCCTTCTCATGTACTTTTAAGCACCAAAAGCCTCCTATGGAGCAACTGTCAGCCTAACAATGGGAAAGGAAGTACGTCCTTGAGTGCCATCCTCCTACTGCCCCACAGTGGGGTCTTATCACAAACTCTACCAGTTTCTTAGAAAAAATACTTCACTATTGGTTAGTCACTAACCAAACTAATCTGATCAGTTCAGTTTATAGTAACACATATCACAGTAGCAGATCTTTACAGATTAGTTTGGTTAGGAATCAAAGTACTCACCAATGCTAGAAAAAAAGCACGTGAAAGAATATCTTGGTTTGTTGATTCACTTGGATGAACTGTTATAAATACTATGTAATTTAATATGAGTTCTTTTCCTGATTATAAAAGAAGATGTACACTATAGAAAATTAGGAAAATATATAAAGTGTAAAGAAAAAAAATCACATAGTCTCACCACACAGAAAAAAAAATACAGACAGTTCTCACTTTTATATTGGAATGTGTTAACTGAAACCTGTGCTTATTGGAACTGTGTCCTTGCTTTGCAGAGCTGCATGGTAACTGACGTCAAACTTAGTGCCTATACTGTTAAAATCCACATTATTTTCTTCCTATTCTCTATGCACATTTTTTTTTCCTTTTTGTCTTTTTTCGTGACCGGTAACGGGATCGCAACCCTCGGTGGATTAAACAAATAAAGTGTGAAGAATTTATTCCAATCATATTGCTTGGTATACTAAGCACTCAATAAATATATTATAATGAGATTTTCCGAAGCCCTATTTACATCTGAAATAAAATAAAAGACTAGCTAATTTGAAAATATGTAGTACTAAGATAACAAAATGTACCAAAATATTGGTTTCAAAAGAAAGAAACCAATATGAAATATGAAATATGGAAGAAATCAATATAAAAACTTTTCTCATATTTAAGTGAACACATAACCAAAAAAGCCATGTGTTAAAACACACAAGAAAATGCCTTTTAAAAATACAGTTGCTGGGCCGGCCCGGTGGCGCACTGGATAGTGCGCCGCTTGGGAAGCGTGGTGGCGCTCCCGCCCGAGGGTTCGGATCCCACATGCGGACTGGTTCCCGCTCACTGGCTGAGCGAGGCGCGGGAGCGACGCCGAGGGTTGCAATCCCGTTGCCGGTCCCCGGTCTGGTACGGGGGCAACACTGAGGGTTGCGATCTGTTGCCGGACACGGAAAAAGTCAAAAAAAAAAAAAAAAAAAAAAAAAAAAAATACAGTTGCTTTAAAAAATATCATAAACATCTCTTATAATTTCCCTAGTAAATTGAGAAAACAACCATATTTATTATTCACATTACCCAACCTAATTTCTCTCTCCAGTAAGTCCGTATGAACATTACTTAAAGTCAAATTAAGCTAACGATCATCTCTTTTTCTCTTAAGTATTCATAGAATAGTTTATGAAACACAAGTCTCACCTGCCCCCAAATATATATTAAGGGAGGTTGTTCTTACCAATATTTCTTCACATATAAACACTATTCTTCCAAGTTTTCAACAGAGATCTATTTACTTTACAGTATTTTCTTTCTTTCTCAATACAAGGGAAATGCAGTGATCATAAAAGACACCATAATATCTAGAATCTATTTGTACATGGCATTATGTTATGTATTGCAAAAATTAAGTTCAGAGATATAATAGGAATTTTATTTAATATTGAACAGCAGGAATGATCATCTGTTCAATAATGTTATAAAGGACTTGGGCTTGCAAATAATAAATTCAAATCAAATTTAATAACAGATTCAAATAAAAAAAACAATGTGCAAATATTTACTTTACAAATGCTAGCCCATTGTTAGACAGTTGTTGGAAAATTAGCTTTAATACGCACAAAAAGAAATAAACACAAACATATTCACAGTGGGTTCTCCTTCCAAAAGGACTATTCAGTCTTGGCTGGTCAAACATATGTCAAATATAAGATTTTAGTATACTGGCAGTACTGACAGGCATGGAGGCATGGATGTACAAATAAGGAAAGAAAAGAATTTCTGATCCCCTTCTCTCATGAAGTTATCAACTAACACTATTATTAAATATAATCTCCAGTTTTTGTTTCTAGCAGTTATCAGGAGCCAAAGAATGCTAACAAGCCTAAAAGTAAGAAAGCTGTCACTATCATAGAAGACTAGCTACTAGTAGAAGTAGGAACGTAGAAACCAAAAGCAGGCAAAACTAATACCTCCAGAATCTGTGTGGCAATCTGTTTGGAAAATTTTTCTAATACCTAAAGTCTACAGAGATATAATTTTATTAACATATTGCATATTTTTAAATAATACAGTATTCTCTCAATTTTCTGACAACATTCTAGGAAAACAGGGAAGGGGGCAATAAAGCACACTGCATATATTTATCAATTTACACATGTGCCGAAAAATTAGCACAGATTTAAGTGCACAAAGTATCACAAACTGACTTCTGGTAAATCATTCTACTTTATAGTTCATGTCCAAGGTACCTAAAATTAATGAAAATAACTCCCTATGCACATGATAAGGTTATAGAAAATTAGAGATTTCCCCCATTCTAAGATGAGTTCTCAGTTCAGCCGAATAACATTTGATCAGTTTCAGATGGGGATTGAGGGAGGGAAGAGAGGGAGAAACTGGCAAAGCAAAAACAAAAAAAAACACACACACACAATAAACAATAAGACATATTTTATCTAGATATTTAGACCACCTAGTTTTAGCAAGAAATTGTCCACCTAAAAATATATTTATTATGCTTACCTAACCACGGAACCATGTTATATATAAAGTACGTCAAATCAACAGTAATTCCTCAAAGAGCTTTCCAAACACTTAAAGAATCCAAGCTTCAGAATCAAGACTCAACAGCTTACTTTTGGTGGATAAACAAATGAGTACTGAAAAACTATAATTTTTATATTACATGCATCAAAAATACAGTTGGAAAGTTGCATATCCAACTTCTACCATACATGTAACTGAGTAAGTGCTCTGTAAAAAATTCCAAGCTTCAGAATCAAGACTCAACAGCTTACTTTTGGTGGATAAACAAATGAGTACTGAAAAACTATAATTTTTATATTACATACATCAAAAATACTGTTGGAAAGTTGCATATCCAACTTCTACCATACATGTAACTGAGTAAGTGCTCTGTAAAAAATGACACATCTTTTAGCTTCCTAATTAGCTATGCTTGCTTTTGGAGGAAAGATGGAAGTTTCTAGAGAATAAAATCAACATTCTTAGAAACTGTTTACAATAGAATGACTTACCAAAAGGAGGTAGTCCATATGTTTGGGTAGCCTGAGGATAGACAGCATAGGGTTGAGACTGCTGTAGTGTCTGGTACTGAGTCTGCCCAGGGTAAGCAGTTTCCGAAACAGGAACTGAGAGGATATGTGCATAAGGTCTAGAAAAAGTCACAAAAACAAAAATTTTCATGTGTGATATATTTTAGTAATGAAAAATAAGTAAAATAGATAATACCACTAACGGCAACAAGGAAAATAACCCTCCACATAAAATGGCTCTTACGGTCAGAAAGTAGAACCCCTTTTTCCTTTTCAGGTTCTATTATCTACCTAAGAAATAATTTTTTGAAAAACTTAATAGTTTCAAACATACTCCCAAGTTCCAATTACTACCCTATAAACATTTGTGGTGTGCTATATTCAAAGCACTACATTAGATACAAGGATTGATTAAACTTGTTTATGCTTTGTCTACATATAGAATAAAACCTAAAAATAACAGAAAATTAGATAGAACAGAATTGGCAATTGGCTCTCATTCTCTACCCAGCCCCCTGGGCCAAACTAAAGTTTTGAAAGGGAAAGTGGGATTTGGAAAAGAGGGTAAGGCTGGTAGAGAAAATGCAAGAAACCACATCAGAAAACAGAGGGTAGGGATGAGCCCCATTATCCTCAAATCAAGTCTACCAACAGGAGCCAGATAACTAACAAAATCCAGGAAGTCCCAGACAAGACTCAATCTCTCCATTGACATTTAAGTCAGAACATACTGCCACTAGTTGGTGCCAACCACATTAGGGCTAGCTAGGGATTTTAATGCAGAGGTGAAATGCCTCGGACATTACACTGGCTAGCTGACCTGGTCGTTTCATCCACGCTATTGCACTACATTTTTAGATACTAGCTATTTTAATTGGTGAATTATGCTATACTTATAATGCAAGAAAGTGCTATATGAACAATATAAGTTTTACACTGGCTAGCTGACCTGGTTGTTTCATCCACGCTATTGCACTACATTTTTAGATACTAGCTTTTTTAATTGGTGAATTATGCTATACTTATAATGCAAGAAAGTGCTATATGAACAATATAAGTAATAACAACAATATGAGGGGAGTTTATTAGAAGGGAAAAAGTTTTTTTTCAGCTTTGAGTGAAAAGGAAAATAAAGGAAGGCTATATAGAAATGATATATGAGTTGAGCAGATAGGATGTGCAGAAATGAGACAGAAAGGGTGTTCTAGAACAAGTGAATAGCCCTGGCAAAAGTACGGAGGAAGGAAAACAAGGGCTTCAGCCTACAAAAAGCATAAATCATATTAAGAGAAGTATATTAACAGAAGGGAAGTAGTGAGAGAAAGAAAGAAAGACCTGAATGCCAGGCTAACACAGTTCAGATAAATCTGAAACAATTGGGAGTCACTGAACTTGTTGAGCAAAGAGTGACAAGATCAGAGCTATTCTTTAATAAAGATTAATTTACCATTGCTTGGTAAAATGGACTAGAAGGAGGAGGAACTGGAAATGGAGGTCCAATTAAAAAATGATTATAAATCGATGGTTCAGATAAAGTGCTAAAGTGGTCTGAACTAACATAGAAGTCATAGCTAATAAGGTGTCCTGAATGTAGCAGGTATGCAAATACTTTTTGAATAAATAAATGGAATTTGGAATATGCAACATATTCACCTCTCAGAAGATTCTAAGAGACTGAATTTGAAAATGTCTACTCTTCTTAGCCAGATCTGAGTCCAGGAAATAGTTCAGGTTACAGCTGTTACTCATGTCAAATGGGAATAACTTAAAATCATAGTGACCTCAAATGGATTCACCTCCAGATACGTCAAAGATCATAACATCCTTTTTCATGTACTGATTTTACAGTTCCAAGCTCAAATATGTTTCCATATTTAGTATTTAATTTCTTCATAATGATCCCAGAGAATAGGTTCAGTCATTTCATGAAAGAAGAAAACCACATGAAAATGACTGGTCACCATCAGTGTTAATACCAATACCATTATTTTTAATAACAGATTAAAATTTAGAGAATTGAATTGACTTTTTAATTAGTTCATTTTTTAACTAATGCAAAATTCACACAGTACAAATAAATGTAACAAAGAAAAAAAAATGCATTTCCTTTTCATAACAGCCCCATAGACATCTTTCACATCTGTTACTAATTTCTTTATGTTTCTTGCACCGATAAGCTCCTAAGAATATATACTGGTTTAACAGGCATACTTGTATTTGTCTATGTATGTACGGGTCTACTCTTTATTAGCACACAACTGGTAGCCTGGTATATACACTGTTTTGAACCTACCCATCCTGAAGATGAGTAATCTGATTGATCTTAAATTCAGATTTTATCCCATGAAGACCCAAAACGTTACCTTTTAGTGACTTCGACCAATCAAACCTGCCTAACTTCAAGCCCAGTTCTACTCTGAGGACATTCCTCAAACAAGAAACTAAACAGATTAGGTTGAGAAGTCCCAATCTAGAGTCGGCTTTTTTTATTGACCTGTCTGTTACGGTAGAGGAAGGAGAGAATGATCAGAGGTCAATCAGTGATATGTTTTGATCACTAAAACTATTTTGCATTTTCAGTGCCTACTCATTTGCAGTTAGCTCCTGTGTAACTGTGATCTATTTCAGGAAACCATCTACTTTTTAAAACAATGCTACATAAACTATATTTAGAGAGAATAAAAAATTGGAGTAAGCATAGAGAGAACAAGAGAAGTGAAAATAAGCTAAATATCAAATTAAATTTTGCAATGAACCTAGAGAAAAAACATATATGTTAGACATAATTATTCAACTTACTTTGCAGAATACATTTGTGAGGTATAATCATTGGATGAGCGAGGGATGTAATCGGTGCATGTCATAACTGAAAGATAATACCAGGTAAAAAAGTTAGAACATTTCAAAAATAAAATGGGAAAATTGCATATCTCACCATACAGTCTTTCAAATTAAAATAACAAAGCTTGGCTATCCAAAAGTTAGAAAGAGTATATAGTAGAAAACACCTCACTTTTATGTTTACAGACCTGTTTATAGATTCCAGAAATAGTAAAAGAGGGGAGAATGTAGGGGATATGAAAGCTCTTTACTGACTGATCTCTATCTTCACCCATCACAGATCTAAAACCATAGATGAAGCAGCCTCCTAAGCTCTCAGCTGTATAAATAGGCAAGTTTAAAAAGCAAGATCCATACCTAGGAACCACATTATGCTTCTTCAGCTTATTCATTCTCTGGGTGCTCACTCTATTCTGAGTAATAGGCCATGAAAATTACTTATACGAAGACAAACTTGGGGGAAGCACCCATTCTTATTAGTAAACCATTGCTACTGCTGTGTATAATCAGCAGCAAAACAGATACAAGTATGCTTTTATACTACTATTTTTTCCTCTTTGTAGTGAATACTTTAAGTCTAGCAAAGCAGAATCAGACCTGAGTAACTGATGTGATGCTCTGACAAACCATCAAGTAAAGGGACTTCCAGCTAGTATACTCTTGACCCCCATGATTTCATCTGAATACTGTGAATAGGAACTGAATAGAACTGAAGGTGAACCTTCTAACTTTACATCTACCTAGGTTCCCTAAAAGAGAGCCTGACCCAAAATGGGAACACTGGTCAAGAGCCAATGAGGGGCCAATTCATGCCCAAGAGTAAGACAAAGCAACACCTGTGAGTTTATCATAGAAGATCTTGTCCAATGCCATTGTTCAAGGTCTTTAAAAATAATTATTGGAAACTTGAAGATCACATTCATTTACAATCATTTTGACAAAAATGAAGGAGATCTCGGGCCGGCCCGGTGGCACACTCGGTAGAGTGCGGTGCTTGGGAGAGCGGTGGCGCTCCCGCCGAGGGTTCGGATCCCATATAGAGACCGGTCTGCTCACTGGTTGAGCGCGGTATGGGCGCAACACCGAGGGTTGCGATCCCGTTGCCGGTCATGAAAAAAGACAAAAAGGAAAAAAAAAAAAGATGAAGGAGATCTCAACTCGATCTAAAGTTCTTACCATCTATCACATAAAATGTAAGGTAAATTCACTCAAATTCTGCATGACGGTTCCTTCTCTGCTGACAGTTACTTTAAAAAACCCAAACCCTTATCCTCCTCCAATTTAATTCTGGAGGAGATCAACAAAACATCCTGAAAGACTTAGGCCAGTATTTACTTCTCAAGAGAATGAACCAGCCTTAATATTGGCAGTATACAGAAACCTTGAAAAGATTATAAAAAGTCAAGACATACTCTGCTATTATTCAATAGGAGGTCAAGTAAGTATGCTGGCTTAGACTAGAGTAGCAATAGTGGGGATGAGGCAAAGACCTCGAAACATATACTGAAAAATAAAAAATAAATTTTAAAAAAAGAAATATATTCTGAAGGTAAAACTAATATGACATTCTGATAGATTTGGATATGGGGAAAGAGAAAAAGAGGGGAATATACGATGATTTCTTGGTTTTCAGTTTGAGCAACTGAAGGGATAGTAATACTGTTGGAAATAAATTGTAATGTAGGGGGGGCATAGAATATAAGTAGTAGAATTGTAGAAAAATATAACCTTAATGTACGCAGTCTTGTAACAATGCATAAGCAACACAGCTTATCAGGGGCCGTGACAAGGGTCAGGCCCGAGCACACTAAACATTAATAGCCCCCACCGGTTCCAGGAAATAGCTGGTTCAAAGCCAGGCCCCCAGGAAGGTAAACAATTGAGAAATGCGCTAAAGGGGTGCCAGCCTGCTAAAACCCACCTGTAAACCCAAAAGGCGCCAGCTGAAGCCCACCTGTAAATCTAAAAGCGCCACAGATAACCAACAGATGATCCCATCACAATATCCATTCAAAAAACTGTATAAAAGCTGCTTGCATTGTGAATTCGGGGTCGCTTATGTCTTGAATGCGGGGCGACCCCAGCTTGCTGGAAATAAAAACCTCCTGCTATTGCATCAATCTCTGCCTCCTGGTCTTTGTGAGATGAGCCTTCCCGAGAAATAGGATTCATGCTTTCGGGCCAGTCTTACAATACCACTTCCTAAAATGGGCAAGTTTGGGAAAAGAACAGATTTAATGGGGGCTAAAGAAATCAAAACCTCTTTTTCGGACATTTTAAGTATGACTTTGCTTTCAGACCTCAAGTATAGATGTCAAATAGGCAGCTGGATCACAAATGAAATCAGGGGAGAACTCAAAATGGAAATATAAATTTGGAATTCATTGACAATGTATAAGATATTTAAAGTAATGCAGTGGATGGGAGGATCAAGAGAAAAGATGGCAGCCTAGAACCAAGCCCTGAGGCCCACAACATTCAGAGTTCAGGTAGAAGAAGGGCCATCATAGGAGAAATGTGGGAGGAAGACTGGTGAGAGAATATGAGGAGAGAGAAATGTCTATTAGAATTGGCAACATGGGGCCGGCCTGGTGGCACACTGGAGAGTGCGCTGCTTGAGAGTGCGGCGGTGCTCCCGCTGAGGGTTCGGATCCCATGTGGAGACCGGTTCCCGCTCACTGGCTGAGCGTGGTGTGGGCGCATCACCGAGGGTTGCGAGCCCGTTACCGGTCAGTAAAAAAAAAAGAATTGGCAACATGAAAGTAACTGATGACCTTGACAAGAG